CGCGTTTGGCCTCGTGGCGTTGGCGTACTCAGTTCAGCGCGGGCAAACCGAATGGAGGAAGGAGCGCTTCATCGGACTTCCCTTGCGCATCGCCGACCGCACCGGCGACGCGATTTACAAAATCGGCCTCATCCCCAAGTTCAAGATCTTGTTTGGCTTCTACCAGGTCTGCCTCGTCCTCTCCACCACCTACTCGGCGCGGCTGCCGGAACGGTACACGGGCTGGACGGAGGCGCTGGCCGAAGCCGTCTTCATCGACTGGTCGGGCATCGTGCTGCCGGTGCAGTGCCTGCCGCACAAGTCCCGGCTCGTCGCCGTCGCGATCTCTCCCATCGGCGTCATCGCCCTGCTCCTCTTTGCTGGCATTGTCTTGCGGCTCTGTGCTCGCTGGCGGCGTGCTCGGCGAGGGGCTGCGGAGCCACCGACGGCGCTGGCCGAAACTGACGATGCGGCGGTCTTTTCATGGCCTGCAGAGGTGGCGCTCGGCCTCCTCGACCTCACGCCGGCGGGTCTCGTGCTCATCTTTCTCTTCGTGCCGTCTGTGAGCGCCACGATCTTGCGCGCGTGGTCGTGCCAGGTGCTAGCCACAAACAAACAAGCCCCCCCCCCCCCGCCCCTCTCCCCCCAAAAACTTAGCTGTGTCGATGTGCGTGCGCAGGGCTACACCACCTCTGCGCCGGGCGAGACGCTCGCTCTGGTCGAGTACATGCGGCAGGACGCGAGCGTCGAGTGCGGCACCGACGAGCACGACTCCATCACGAGGCTCGCCATCGGCTTCGTCGTCATCTGGCCGGTCGGCTCGCTAGTCCTCTACTCGGCCCTTCTTCTCGCATGCTACAAGCCGCTGCAGGCCAAGTCGCCGAACGCGCTGACGAAGGCCACCGCCTTCCTTCACCGGGAGTACAAAAGGAACTGGTACTGGTGGGAGGCGGCCGATCTGGCCCGCAAGCTCTTTCTGACGGGCTTCGTGCTGCTGGTTGCCGAGGAGGAGGACTCCTTTGTTCGTCTCGTCGTGGCGGTGCTCGTGTGTTCGTGCTACGCCGTCGCGATCGCCCTGGTCCAGCCCTACAAGCGGTTCGAGGACAACATCCTCGCCGTGGTGCGCCCTTCGCCCAATCCCACACGCCCTTTGCGCTTGCTTGTGCTGCAGCTCTCAGCACACGCTTGGATCGCCGTGGCCAGTCCACCACCCACCCCACACACGCCCTTCCCACTGCAGTCACTCTGAGCCCAACGGACGCGGCTCGCACTGCAGGCCACCAGCCTCGTCCTCCTCCTCCTCTTCCTCGGTGCCAGCTGGACCACCATCTTCCTCAACATCGAGTTGCGATTCCCCGGCGACGAGCCGGGGCAGTCGGCCTCCGCCGTCCTCGGCTTCAGGTCTGAGAATGGACTGGTGAACTGGATGCTCGTCCTTGCTGCGGCTGCGCTCCTGATCTTCCTCGTGGGTACCATCATCGCCATCCGCCGCCTTGCCAAGGTCCCCACGATTCGCCTCGTCTCAACCAAGCAGCCCCCCGAGCTGGCTCTGGTGGAAGGCCTCACGTGGCACCTCTTCCTCTCGCACATCTGGTCAGTCCTGTGGTCAGAGGGAGAGGCGGCGTAGGAACCCGCCAGAACGACCCGCCACTCCCCGAATAGGTCCACCGGCCAAGACGCCGTCGCGGTCATCAAGAATGAGCTTAAGCTCTTGATCCCCGGCATCAAGATCTTCCTCGATGTGGACGATTTGAAGGACATCGGGTCGCTGGAGGATTACGTTGACCGCACGCAGGTCATGCTCTTCTTCCTGTCGAAGGGCTACTTCCGCTCGAAGGCACTCCCCCAGCCCCTCCCTTTCCGAGAGTGCCTCGCTGTGTCGCCCACGACTACTCGTGCGCTCCTTGCCTGCAGAACTGCCTGCGCGAGATTCGGACGTCGCTCGAGAAGAGCAAGCCGCTCGTCCTCGTGCAAGAGGCGGACCCGGCCAAGGGCGGCGGGACGCTGCAGGCGCTCCCCGCCCGCCCCCTGCTCGATGACCCTGCGGGGATTGCTCTCGCCACACACGGCTCTGAGGGGCGGTGTCGCCGCCGCCGCCGCACGCCAGCACTCACTCACGCACACCGTCGCTGCACGACTGCAGGAGTTGCGAGCACAGTGCCCGGAGGTCCTCCAGCCGGAGATCTTTGACAGTGGGTGGGCGCAGACGACGTGGCACCGCATCGACGAGTATCAGCGTGTCTCGCTTAAGATCATCTCCGAGGTGCCGCCACGGACGACTCCCTGCAGCTGTTCTGCCGTCGCCTCGACCTTGACCGCCGCCCCCTCGCACCTACCCTCAGGCGCTCCTCCTCTGCTCGCCACACTACCTGAACCTGGCCTCCCTCCCGCTCTTCATCCCGGGCGAGGTCCAGGGCCAGCCGATCTCCTTCTCCAAGTCCGTCGTGCTCTGGGCCTCGCCGTTCGATGAGGGCGCAGACGAGCTGGCCAGCGAGCTCGCCACCAATTTCTCCGGCCTCACCGTCTCCACCGCCGAGGAGGCGGGCGACGCCACGCACATGCTTCTCTATCTGAACGCCGACACCTGGTCCGACGAGCGGCTGGCCGAGCAGGTCAAGCAGGCGCGCCAGGATAGGCTGAAGATCGTCATGGCGCACGAGAACGACCTCGACCGCGGCGGCTGTGAGTTCGCCAAGTTTTTTGAGACCACGCCGCAGGCACGCTGCCGATCAGCGGTCGATCTTTATGTCCCGCCCGCTCCATGCCCCCCTTCCCCGCCGCCGCAGGAGCTCATCAACGCCGGGCTCTACAACGCCCTCGCCATTGCCTGCTTCCCCGGCCTGCACCATGAGGTGCGCTCCCCCGGCGGCACCTTTGCCACAGCGCCCGCCTCCTGGAGCGACTGATCTTGCACCCCCGGTCTCACAGGTGTCGCTCGTGCTGCTGGCCAAGGCTCTGGGCGCAACCCCGGTGAGCGCTCGCTCGAGCATCCGCGACTCGCTTTCGAATATCGGGCGCTTCACTACCGTGCCTCGCGGCTCGACGACGTCCGACCCAGTCGTTACCGAGGAGGATTCGCAGCTGGAGCAGCTGCCAGAGGTGGAGCAGGTGTAGAGGTGACGAGCAACTTTGCAGTTCGGCTCAAGCGGCAAGGGTTGGACGCGCTCCCCACTTCCAGGAGTGCGCTGTGTTGGCATAGGGCGTTTTATGTAACAACTAACATGCTGATCCTCTAGCTTGCTCGTCCTCTAGCAATCTCCGCCGACCGCGAGGCCGGACTAGACCGTGTGTGGGGTCGTGTGAGGTGTCTCTGGTCACTCTCCTCAGGGGCTAGCCGCCAGCCGCTAGCCCTATCTCGCACTCACTGGCGGTGACAATTCTATGGGTGAGCGTATGCGAGTAGAGAGGCGCGTGAGCCGATTCTAGATCGCGCATGCCATTGGCATATAACTTGGCTTGGCGTGCGACCTCAGCGCGCCCGCCGTCAGCTCGACGGGGCGCGCATGTCAGCGAGAGGTTTGCCGGTAGAGCGATCCCGGTCTTGGTTGTCCGCCCCGCGCCACGGGTGCCAGCCGTGCCTTCGCGAGAGTCGCCCTCCGCGTCCCGTCGGCACTACCCTCGAGTGCGTGTCGCCTTGACCCGAGATCGCCATACACAGTCGTTGCCTCTTTGTTTTGAGAGCGCCTTCGTTGTTAATAGTACAAACCCAATGGTCCCTCGCTAGCGGTCCTTCGTTTCAGTCGCACACACGCACACGCCACGCCGCACCGCGCGCCCGCCCACTGCCCCGCCCAGGCGGGAAAGAGATGAGGAGATGGGACAGCGAAGGAGGAGCCACGAACACGTATGGGAGGGTTCAGTTGTGCGTCACGCTGCCCGGCTTCCCGGGACAGCCCCGCCCTTTCGAGGCAGGAGGGTGTGACGACTACCCCGTACGCCCGGTTGCATCATACCCCATCGCCGACCGCCCATCCCCCCCTCCTCGTTCCCCCCTCGAATTCTCCGGACCCCGACAGGCCGCCCGACGTTGGGCCTCTGCCCCGCACGCCCCCGCCCCTTCTGCCCCTCGCTCACACCCCGGCCCGACACGCACATACAAGACAAACCCGGCGTCCTGCTCTCAAAAGAAAAGAAAAAATGGGAAGGAGGAGACCAGCGGGGGAGACTCCCCGCCTATGCAACACCCCAGAGAGGGGCTGCCATCGCCGAAGCTGTGCCTAAGCATAACTCCCAAACCCGCAGCGGCCCGGGGGGCCTTGGGGGCAGCCTGCCGGACCGCTGTTGCACGGGGCTAAGCGCCAGAAGATGAGTGTGGTTGATGGATCGGGCCGTCGACCGTGCCTCCCCTCTTTTCGTCAGAGTGGGACTTACGCCGCGCCGGGTAGGGGGCGCGCCCGGTCCTCGACGGAGCCGCGCGCCCCAAACGACCCAGGCGACGAGTAGTCGTCGTCGAACCTCCGACACGTAGTCGCCCGTGGTCAGCGCCCCGCCTCCCCCGCCCGTCCCTATTCGTATTGCACCCGCGGCGCCCGCGGCATCTCGCCGCCCATCTTCGGCCACGCGTTGTAGTCGAAGATGGCGGCGTTGCGCCTCGCGATGATGGTCGAGTGCACTTGTAGGAAGCGCTTGCGCTCGCTGCTGACTCTCCATCGTTCACTGTCGGAGGATGCCTTAGCAGCCTTGATGTCGAAGTTGGTGTTGAACCACGTCGCCGCCTCGTGCCCGATGCCGCCGCGCGTGCTCGCCGCCCACGTCATAAAGTCGCAGTTTTTGGCGTCGCACGCCGCTGCCTTGGCCTTCCTCTTCGTCGCCTCGGCGTAGTCGGTGGCAAGGTGCGTGCCATTCGCCAGCGGGCGCAGCCTGCCGTGGTGCACCGCGGTGACGTACGGTGGTCCCTGCCGGTTAATCTTTTTTTTTTGTGTGTGCCAGTCCGCGCCAGTCCGCGCCCTTGTCGTGCCAGTGTGCTGTGAGAGGTAGTGTGAGAGTTTGTGTCTTAAATTCTTTTTTATTTTTCGGCGCAAATGTTCGCCGACAGGCTCAAGCACAGCGACGGCGAGCGCTGCTACGAGCGCCATGCCGCCTACCAGATGCGTTGGGATCTCGACGCCCTCGGCATCCCCGACGGAGGCCTCAGCAGCCTCCTCTCCGCAGCGGCGCCGAACGGTGGTCCACTCGCACTGCTCGGCGCCGGCGCTGGCGATCCCGACAGCGGCGTCGCCGCGCCGCAGCTCCGCGTCTACAGTGCCTCGGGCGAGATGATCCGCGGCTGGCCGTGGCTGCATGGCCGGTGCGTCGGGCTCGGCTGGAGCGGGAGGCATGAGCTCGTTGCCGTCCTCGAGTCTGGGCACGCGCTCGTCTGGTCGATGCACGGCGCGCGGCTGGCCGAGTTTGGGCTGGGCGCGGCGTGCGAGGCGCACGGCCTGCTCAGCGCCGAGGTCCTCCCCGACGCCCTCTTGCTCCTCGGCAAGGACTGCCGCTGCTACGCGCTGCACGCGTTGGGCAGCGAGGCCGAGCGGAGGCTCGTACCGCTCGCCGACCCGCGGCTTGCGGTGCAGGGAGTAGAAGCGCAGCACCCTGCGGCGGAAGGGCGTAGCATAGCACGGCACTCTCGCAGTCTCGCGACGACCCGAGCCGAGGCAGCGACTACCCTCCCCCCACAGCAACAGCACAGCACAGCACAGCACAGCACAGCACCGCACTGCACTGCACTGCACTTCACAGCACAATGCACAGCACTGCACTGCACTTCACAGCACAATGCACAGCACAGCACAATGCACAGCACAGCACAATGCACAGCACAATGCACAGCACAGATCGCGAACCTTCTCGGAACCGTCTTCCCTGGCAGGCGCCTCCGACGGCGGTGACCGCCGTCGAGCCCACGGCGCCGGCTGGGCGGCCCCTAGGGGTTCATCCGCCGGTGGTCGATGGAGCGGGTCGGACTCTCTCCTTCCTAGGCGTGCCGGGCGGTCGCTCCTATGGACTCATCCGCCCTGTGAAGAGATGGGGTGGAGACGGTGCGTGGTAGGCGCCGGGCGGCGTCCCGCGGGCCCTCGTCGCAACGAGTACTCGCACCATCCTCCTGCTGGACGAGCGGGAGGTGCAGGAGGACCGGCTCCTCTCGGCCACAGAGCAGTTAATTAGCTAATTCATCATTGACAACGAACAGGTGCAGGACCGGCTCCCCACGGCCGCAGATGAAGCAGTGATTTCATGCACTCATCGACGCCGCACAGGTTCAAGACCAGCTCCTCACGTCGGGCCCCTTCTGCCACCTCGTCCCGTCGCCGTCGCGCAAGCTCGCCGCCGCGAGCCGAGGCATCCGTGCGAGAAAAGAAAACGCGGCGCCCACACGGAGGACGCGGTGATTAGGCTCGTCGCAGCCTACAGCTCTTCCACCAACGCCCTCCACGTCTTCTCGTCCGACCTCGAGGTGCTGTGAACAGCGTCTCTTCACAGCACCAGCTGTGAACAGGCCCTCCACGTCTTCTCGTCCGACCTCGAGGTGCTGTGAACAGCGTCTCTTCACACCTGCAGCTGTGAACAGGCCCTCCACGTCTTCTCCTCCGACCTCGCCCGAAACTTGTCCGAGTTCCAGACGCACGCGCCGCGCCCGCCGACGGCGGGGCGCCTGGTGCGGCAGCGGCTCGGGCGAAGGCGACGCGGTGACGCGGCCTTCCCCGTTGTTCGCTGTAGGGTGTCGTCTGGTGCGGCAGCGACGCGCTGCTGCTGCGGTCGGGCGGCCGGTCTGTGGTGGTTGCGAGCTCAACTCCATGAAGCGTCGATGGGTTCGTCACGACTTCCTGCTAGGTGGGGGGGCGGCGGTGACGGCTCGAATCGTTCCTCAATCGCCGACTCGACTGGCGGAGTGTCTTGAGTGTGGTGGTAGGTGGGGCGGCCGGGTGGTGATGGTTGGGCCGTATGGAGACTGCATCCAGTACGAGTACGCCGAGCCGCCGCTCCTCTTCCCGGAGCAGGCACAATCTCCCCGTATCTCCCCGTATCTCCCCGTATCTCCCCGTATCTCCCCCGCTCCTCTTCCCGGAGCAGGACTGCGCGAGATATGGCGAGATGTGGCGAGATATGGCGAGATGTGGCGAGATGTGGCGAGATATGGCGAGATGTGGCGAGATATGGCGAGATGTGGCGAGATGTGGCGAGATGTGGCGAGATGTGGCGAGATATGGCGAGCCATACCCGCTCCTCTTCCCGGAGCAGGACTGCGCGAGGGTCGTCACCAGCAGCGCCACGGAGCTGCTGCTGCGCGTCTCGCCGGTCGCCGTCGCCGTCCTCACTCCCGCCGCCACCGCCGCTTCCGCCGGCGCGCGCCTCCTCGCCGCGTCCGCGCGCCTAAAAAAGAAACAGTCGGCGCGATTTTTCTCTTCTTCTAGGCGCGCGCCTCCTCGCCGCGTCCGCGCGCCTAAAAGAGAAATAGCATGGCTATCTGTTTTCTTTTTCTAGGCGCGCGTCTCCTCGCCGCGTCCGCGCGCCTAAAAGAGAAATAGCACGGGTATCTGTTTTCTTTTTCTAGGCGCGCGCCTCCTCGCCGCGTCGGCGGCGTTCGAGGCTCGTTCCGCCGTTGCCGCAGAGCTGCTGCGCGGCCTGTCGCAGACCGAGCTGCGCGAGGGCGTCGCCGCGTGCATCGAGGCGAGATCGGCCGAGATTGCCGGAGGTTTGCCCGAGATTTACCCGGAGGTTTGCCCCCGAGATTTACCGGAGATTTTCCCGAGATTTACCCGGAGATTGCCCGAGATTTACCCGAGACTGCCCGAGGTGACCCGAGATTGCCCGAGATTGCCCGAGATTGCTCGAGATTGCCCGAGAGGAGACTGCCCGGGAGGGCGTCGTCGCGTGCATCAGATCTCCCCACATCTCCCCGCAATCTCCCCCACATCTCCGCACATCTCCCCGCAATCTCCCCCACATCTCCGCACAGGCGGCGGAGCACGAGATGAGCGCAGGGCGGCAGCTCTCTCTCCTCCGCGCCGCCGCCTACGGCAAGCCATACATCCGCCACGCCGGCGCCGCGCCCAGCGGCGGCGGCGGCGAGGGCGGCGAGGGTGGCGAGGGCGGAGAGGGAGAGGGCGGCGGCGGCGGTGTGGCCGAGCAGCGGCGGCTGGCGGCCGCGTTTGTGCGCGCGTGTAGAGTCGCGCGCGCGCTGAACGCGGTGCGGGCGGCGGCGGCTTGCCCCCCCACCTCTCCCCCACATCTCCCACGCATCTCCCACACGCCTCCCCCGCAGGTGCGGGCCCCGGAGGTCGGCTTGCTACTGACGCGGCTGCAGTACGGCGCGTTGGGGCCGGAGAGGGTGGTGCGCACGCTGCTCGCACGGCACGCGAACGCCCAGATCCCTTCTTTTCTCTCCCCATCTCTCCCCATCTCTCC